ATCTCCAAACCCGGAGCTCTAGTGGGGGGTTCCCAGTCTGCAGAGGTCAGTATCTATTAAAAGTGGTCCAAGGAAGGAACAGAACCGGAGACAGGGTCATGGGGGGCCGAGGCTCATTGATGCAGGTGGGGAGTGAAGGCTGGCCCGTGTGGTCCGATCCAACAGACGAGCTACTGTAGCTCAAACTGCTGAAACAGTTAATGCTGGTTCTGATAGAAAGGGGTCAGAACACACAGTGCAGAGCAGTCTGCTGGTCTGGGACCAGTCAGGGAGTTCAGTGCTCACAGTGTTACTGCTGATCAATATATCAGTCTATATACTGTTAGTACTGATCAATATATCAGTCTGTATACTGTTAGTGCTGATCAATATATCAGTCTGTATACTGTTAGTGCTGATCAATATATCAGTCTGTATACTGTCAGTGCTGATCAATATATCAGTCTATATACTGTCAGTGCTGATCAATATATCAGTCTATATACTGTCAGTGCTGATCAATATATCATTCTATATACTGTCAGTGCTGATCAATATATCAGTCTATATACTGTCAGTGCTGATCGGTGGATGTCTGTATGTAATATAAAATATATTTCTTTACATTTAGAACAAGTTTATATTTAGCTTGCTTTGTATTTTCCTGTTTTATTGATTATGTAGGATTTTAAATTGTTTGTTTATTATTATTTTTGTTTGGACCCCATTAAAACTGCAGTGTGTTGAGCTCTCAGGGCCACCGTAGTTTAATGACCCCAGACAATAGTTGCATATTTTGACACAGGACAATTAAATTAAACATAATTTAAAAAAAGTAGACATTTTAGTGTCACTGAGAACAATTCTTTTTGATAATTAACTTCAAATAGTCTTCTTACAGTTAATGATCAATAAGTTTCCATTTTATTTTGTGTCATTGTTATTATGGAGGACATATGGGGACAAAAATGAGGTCCTCACATGGTAAGACTTTAAAGGAATGAATGTAAGTCAGTGTGTGTGTGTGTGTGTGTGTGTGTGTGTGTGTTCTTACCGTGTAGATACGATGGCGGCGTCCCCCTCGCTCCATCCCATCATGTGTCTCAGGGTCTGTTTGGACAGCAGGAAGAGTCCGGGGAAGAAGACGGAGCCGGCAGCCATGAGGGCCAACATGGCTCCTGGTGTCACCTGAGTGTGTGTGTGTATGTGTGTGTGTGTGTGTGTGTGTGTGTGTGTGTGCTCTCACACACTCTCTCTGGATGTGCTGCGAGTGTTAAATGAGGACAGGTTTCTAGGAGCTCAGAGAGGAGGATCAGGAGGGAGGAGCTTCCTGCTGTCACCTGTCAGAGGAGGAGGAGGAGGAGGAGGAGGAGGAAGTATTCAGATCTTCACTGCAGTAAAAGTACTGATACTATGTGTGACTGTTGTACTATTATATATCATATATTGGATTATTCTGACACATTTTACTGTTGGATTATTATTATTGTCTCCATTTATTGATCTATCTAATCTATTGCTTCGTTAAAGTTCTGAATATAAAGAGAAATCCCGTCACAATTACCCAGAGTTCAAAGTGACACCTTTATAATACTTGTTCTGTCCAAACCTCCAAACTGGATGTTAAACTTAACTGAATTTCTGGCTTTTAATTCATACGAACAAGCAGCAGAAAGAGTCTGAATGACGTCCGAGAGCTCAACTGAACTGCTTTAATTTCACACCTTCTGTTTAAAACTTTATTTAATACCTAAATTCTGTAAAATCCCGTCACAGTTAAGTTCAAAGTGACACCTTTATAATGCTTGTTCTGTCCAAACCTCAGAGGTAAAGGCAGCGGTTTCTGAAGACATCGTGGATGTTGAACAGCTGACACTAGACTGCATTTTACTCATTAGTTCATTAATATAAAGTGATCTTTGTCAGAAGGACAAGAACCGACTGCAAAGTGTTGTTAACAAGTAAATCATAGGTGGCGGTCTGACTTCGTACATACTAAACAAACAATGGTCAAAGACGTGGAGCCGAATAAAGTGTGGTTACTGAAAACAGCCGGTGACGACACCCACCTGTCACTCAAAGCAGCCACGCCCTTAATTATACATAACTTTAATCCTTAATAATGAATTTAAAGTGAGTTGTAAAGTTGTCATGGACAGAGAAATTATCTACACTGACTAAAAGGCTGTAAACATATTTATTTTTTGTATCAGGTTATATCAGGTTGCTGATTGGGTAAAACACAAACATCCCGAGTACAACTTTATACTGAGAAGTGCTCAAGAAACTAGATGATTATCAACGATCTCAAAAATGTTCTCTGTGACGACTTTGAGCCTAAAATTCAGATTATTGGATGTTAGACAGTTTAACGTGCCCTCCTCAAATTCACTGCCCTCTCGACACCTTCGTGGCTAAAAATGCCCCATTGACTCCCATTAAAACCACATTTTTCAATCTCGCTGCCATTACAGTATAAAACAATGCATTCTGTAATGTCAGCATTTCATTTTGAAGAAAAGTAGTGATATTTGACATTTTTACTGTATTCCACCAGATTCAACCATTCTCACATTGTAGGCCGATGCATGACATTCCTGTATTTTATATTATGGAGCCATGTGACTACCAGGCGGCCCCAAGAGTTGTTTTTGTCTGTGTGTGTTTTGGACTTCATCCAGAAGGACAATAGAGTTTAAAAGACATTGGATTTCAAAAAAGTTACTACAAAAGAAAAAATCACTAAATCAAAAAAAAAAAGATGTACAAAAATGCCAGAGGAGGGTGTAAGGGTTAGGACATCGTGGACATCCTGTTGCCTTTTAAAGTTTTACTAATAAAGTGAGAGAAGTTTTGTTTAAATTGATTCACAGACACAAACAGGACTAATCCTTCAGTGAACCTTCAGATGGAAACCTTCGAGATGTTAGTTCATCCAGACTTTGTTTTCTTTACTGTGTTTGACTTTAAGATGAAACAATGAAGGAAAATACTTTATGATCAATCTTTACTATCCTCATTATCCTATTCTAAGAATGAACTCATCGTGGAGGCCATATAATATTTAAAGAACTCTGAAGCTATGCTAACTGTCCTATTAAACTTTGTGACCTTACAGGATGTCGGAGCAACTTAAACTGATGCTATAAATAGTTTTCTGTTATTTTCCTCCATATTTGGACCTTTGCTGATGTTTGAGTGTCCTATATGTGCTGTATATGAATCAGTGTAACAGCTTCATTAAGTTACAATCTCAAATGTTATCTTTGCTTTTCCAGCTCTAAGTGTTTTTATTAATCACAGATTTAATAAGAATTATTTACAACCACATCCGTCAGCAAACATCATTTCACAAACTGAGAATCTTCTTATTCAGGAGAGAAAAGAACTTCTGAACATGGCAGAGGAATATTATCCAGTGTCCATTTATTTATTTATCATTCACTACTTTATTTCTAAACATTTTTTTTTTAAGAAATTCAAGTATTTGTTGGGAACACAAGTCAAAAAACAAACAAAGAAAAACTTTTTTGCTAAAACGAAGACAAAACATCAGTTTTAAAACATCAGTTTCATATTTAGAATAATAAAAACATCAAGTTTCTTTTCATAGAAGAAAAACGAGTCTAATGTCTAAAGATGACCGTCCGTCCGTCCGTCCGTCCCGCTCTGCGTCAGTTCACCGTCGGCGCCCGTCGGCCCGAACGGAGGGAACGCACTCGTCAGCTGATCTCTGAACAGTGTGCAGGGAGGGAAAAGACCACACGCAGGTCGGTCACCTGGTTTAAAAACTGTTCCTCACCTGGAAGGATCTCTACTAACACAACAACAGAAAATAAAGAAAAAGAAAAAGAAAAAGGCCCGAAGGGAAAAAGTTTGGATTCATTGTTCCCTAAATTACTGACAACTGTTCCCTAAAAGCACAAATATCTCCGTTTAGTTTGAGATTAATCAGAATATAAACATCATTTCTAGGAGACAATGTCCAGGTTTTTATGGACTAAATGATCAATAGAAGTAATCAGATGACCCTTCCTAAGCCCCGCCCCTTTTTGCCCTGTGCTCCAATCACACTTCCTCCTTTCCTGTACGTACGTATGCTACATGCTAGGCTAACCTATGCTGGAAAGACCACCACATTTTAAAGATGGTTTAAAGAGGAATACGTATTCACATATTAATCTAATCTACATCAATCATTAGCTAGCTGGTTACATCTGAAATCTCAGCAAGCTAATCAATAGTTTAATCATTTCCCAACTTAAGATCTGATTATTTAGACTCTTGCCAACAGTAGCTAACTTAAAAACAGGAATATAGTCGCATTTTATCTTTTAACCATCTTCAAAATGTTCAACATCAACGAGGCTAGCACGTAGCATATGGAAGTACAGGGGGGCGGGGCTTAGGGTTTATTATAAACAGCTGCAGCCTCTAATTTTATAGTTTATATCACAGAATTCATTGTTTAACGTCAAAGTTTACACAAACTCCAACCGTAGATCCACAGTGTGAAATTAATGTTAAATCAAGGGAACTAATTGATCAGAGGACACATTATACCAATAACTCTTCACTAATGTGTTTTATTTCAGGCTGTAATGTTTTAGTTATATGATCCAAATGAAACTTTACTATTTTAAAACCATGAATTAAAAATATTAGTGCGACAGCTGCAGAGGTTCACTCGCTTTTTTAATATTTTTTAGGGAACAATCATCGAAAACGTTCTCCCGACTCTTTTGTTTCTGTAAAAATCTAATAAGATCACAACAAACAAAAACAAAACTTCTAATAAAATCACTTCCTAAGATGAATTAAATAAAAAAAATTACCACAAAAATGTACGTTTTCGTCATCGTTGACAAACTCAACCATTGCACAGCATTCAAACCCAAATGCTCTCCATGGGATAATAAATATACACATGCAGATATACAAGTCAGGTAATCTGGCAGCCTCAGTGATAAACCGCTCACAGAGACTCGCTGTGTGTTCCTGTAGAAGAGGAGCTGAGGTTTCAGGGAACCGCTCAGGGGGCCCCCGGCGGCTCAGGGGCCCCCGTCTGCTGGAGGTTCAGGGCATGTACAAGAAGAAAGGAAACAAAAATAACCTCAACCTTTCCAAAAACACACGATCCAGGAACTGAGGAGGAACTAAACCCGGAGCTAAAAGGTTCCTTCAGTCGTGAGATTTACGGAAAATGAACCAAAAGTGGGTTAAACAGCCCGGTTCGAGACAGAATCTGAACGCGTGACGAGACAAACTGTGGCGATGTTTGAGTGTTGAGGTGGCCGGCCGTCACTCCGGCGCCGTTGGCACGAGCGGACCCTCATCGGTTAAAAGTTCCTGAGATCCTAAAAAGAGATTCCTGGAAAAATTCCTGCAGTCAAAAATGGGCCGAACATCTCAAAGTGACCAGAAACCAGAGCGGCGTACTGACGGGTTTCTGTAACACGTCTGTTCTTAAAGTCCGTGAACGAGCACAGAGCGGAAACTTTCTGCAGATGTTTCACCACCAAATGGTTCAATTCACTCAGAGGAAGTAAAATCATTGGTTTCAATCAAACATCTTTTAATATGAAGTCTATGTTTGTTTTAAAAAGGTGATGCTAGTGAGTTAGCATTTAAGCCAACTTCCCATCTGTTCGTTACTGCCTCTTTTTTTAGCTGTTTAAAGACAAAGAACTGGTTTGAGATGAGGCACTGGGTCAGAACCAGCCCTCAAACTGCCTCAGTGGAAAGGCAGTGAAGAGAAATTTAACTCTTATTCTAACAGAAAAATATCACTTACAGAACCTTTCAGGGAAATTACAATCTGGACTACAATTTCCACATTAGACAAATCAGTTTGAGCGTCTTTGAACGCACCACAGTGCCATGTTTGCCATGAGTTCGTGGTTCAAATTAATTCATGAAGAGAAAAAGGTTTTAACATTAACTCTAGAGCTGAAACAATTAGTCGATTAATTGATGGACAGAAAATAAATCGATTAATTAATAATAATGAGTTCAAGTCAAAAGTCCTGGAAAAAAAATTTTCATGATGGAAAAATACTGACACTTATATGGAGCTAATAATTAAAACAGGGAACTTTCATGTTGTGTTGATACTGGCACCCCCTGTGGATTCTCTCTGATGTCTTATTTATGTGGATTATATAGATTCATTAGTCTTAAACTCCTTACAGTGCGTTGGATTATCAATCTGCAACAAGTTTCAGCTCTCTGCAAGTTCATTTTCACCGAACTAAAACTGAACTGAGGGACGTAAAGTCGACTCAATGTGTAGTTGAAGAGCCAAAACGTGCCAAAAACCATCAGTACGACCAAAGATCAGACTCACTGCGTCTGACGTTTAAAACATAATCCATCAGTTTGTCGTCACAGGACAGAAACCTCTTCAGATATAATTCACATCACGCCATGAGAGAGCCGACACTCTTCTACTAAAACACTCCTTATAGTGTTAGAATCTGCCACCGCTTTCAGGCCTGATCATCCAAACCAGGGATCAATACTGGAGCGTCCTCATGTGGCTTTGTACAGTTTTTAGTGTATTAAAACGGGACACCTGAGCCTTAAACTAAACACAGGAACTAAAACAACCCAAAGAACAGAAACAAAAAAAAAATAAAACAGCAGCATTTCACCGACAACATCCTTCTCTCCAAACCTCACACTGATTCTGAGCGACGGGGTGAGAGACGAGGAGCGAGCACGAGGTAAAAGAATCTGGAGGAATGACGTTAAAGGTTGTGACGGGAGGGTTTCAGTTTACAGATATGCACATTTATTTATATATAGTGTTCTTTTTTTTTTGTCTTTCCAGGGTTTGAGGTAACCGAGGTCGCCGCGGACCCGCGGAGGAGTCGCTGCTAACTAAAAAAGAAGGGGTGGAGACAAACACTCTTCAACAAACACTCAATAAATTAAGAGATAAGAAAAATAACTCCATCAGTGCCGTCGTCGCTTCCTGTTTCTCGCTCCGCTGGCGGGACAAAAAGTCGAGGACGTCAGCAGGAAAACAAAAATGTCCACACGGTGTGAAGATAATACGAGTTGAGACGGGTAGAAGAAGCCGTTGACCATTTGGAGATAAAAACAAGAAAAAGAAAAAAAAAAAAAGCCAAATATTTGTAGTTTTGGCATCTTTCTGTCCGACGTTAACACTTAAAAATCACAATTTCCTGTCATAATTAAAAAAAAAAAAAAAAACACAGTCTGACAAAACAACTGTGGGGAATGACTTCCTGTTTGCTTTGTATCCTGATTAAACTCCTTCCTGCTGAATGTGAATGAGGTGGTGGAACGACATCGATCCAGAACCAGACGGCAACAACAACAGTATGAGGAGGACCACGGGGGGGGACTGTGGTTGAAACCTGCTACATCTGTTAAATTGCATTATTGCCGACGTCTGTCGACGCAGAAAGACGCCGAGCAGCAGAAACACAGTGAGTGATGTGTTCAAATGCAGTTTGAAAAAAAAAAAACAGAAAACAAAAGGAAAACCTTGGAGGTGTTTGGCGGTTAATGCGCCGTGTTGTTTTGGTGGGTTACGTTCGGGAGCGTGTGACACACTGATGATCTGTCCGGTTGGCAAGCGAGCGTGCTCAGTGTGTACAGGTGAGTTAATTAAACCATATTGCACAGGGGCTGGAATGACTTCAAAATCAACTAATTCTACCAAACAATTAAAACCATTATTTCTCAATGTCTACTAACGCAGATGGAAAATCCAATCTAGTACCGAGTTCTTTTCCTCTTTCTTATTCCTCCTCGAGCACTTCAGCAGCATTTCTTTTTTTTTTCTTCTTTTTTTAAATTCAGCACCGAAAACGCCTCGAGCATCAGCTGTTTGGGTCGTTTAAAAGGTCGTATTCTGGAAACTCTGCAGATTCGTTGGGAGAAAAAAAAAAAACACAAGGAGGGTTTTCTGGTGGGTCGGATGTTTTCTCCTCTCGTGGTTGGATGAGTCGTTTCTCCTCCGCATCCCCGCAGACGAAAAGAAGGTTTAAAGAAATTTAAAAAATAAAAAAAAAAAAGACCCAAACTCTTTGTTTTTTTTCAGATGCCACAGCCAATGAAATCCTTTCTCACACTGCTGCCGCTCCTCGAGAGGAAGAGGAGGACCGTTCATCTCTCCTCCTTCCTGGACACCTTGGAGGAGTGCCATGCAGTGGACCTGCAGACAACAACAAACATCCATTAAACACACAGCCAGTCTAACACAGTCAGAATGTAACTGAGTATATTTACTTTAGTGCTGCATTTAAGTACTTTCACTTTAATATTTTCTCTTCATGTCACTCTGTACTCAGACTTTATGTCCTGTTGCCAGGAGGCGAGTTGGGGATTAGTGAACTAATCTCATATAGGGGATTAATAAAGGTATATCTTATCTTACATGTAATTAAACTCGTAGTTTTAACTACATTTTGCAGAGGTTAAATTATTTTTTTGCCAGTTTTTGTTTAAACTAAAAACAATTTTGGACCATAAAAGAAAAGGAATTTCTTTTATAATTGCTTCTCTAAGATTTTGAGCTCACCTGTGAGAAACATCTATCTTTAGAGTTAATAAACTCAACCTGAATATATTAGGTGTCAATTATCAGGGCAGGAATTATACCACGTCCCAAACAGCCAGTGCCGTAATACCTCTTCTAGAATTAACTACCCACACAGAGAGTGTGGCATTGCTCTGTTTGGAACAATAAATAATTTACACACAAAAAGGTAGGTATCTGACTGACACGGTTTACTAAATCAAAGCCGACGGACATGACCAGGTATTTTATTGTTTAGGTTAACGTCCAACCTGTGAGACCTGCTCTGTTTGTCCACGTTCACTTAGGTGAAGACAATAGCGTAGAAACTGTTTGCACATTTAAAGGCTGACAATCAACCAGCGTGCTGCAGTATAAATACTTCATTACGAGCTCTTCCTCCTCTCCCTCACCTGATGAAGGTCTTGAAGGCAGCACTCTGAGGGTTGATGCACAGCGGCACTCGTTTGCCCTGCTGGTGCTCTGTGATGAAGCGATGGATTAACTCTGATGTTGGGACAGAGAAGCAGATCAGTAACAGAGTCAGAGGTGGAAAGGTCACAGACAGATAACACGTCAGCGGTTCCACCAGGAAACGTCTCCGTGGCGTCCTACCTTTTCCCTGCCACACAGACAGCAGGCTGTTCTCGTAGCTGTGGCTGAACGGCCGCTCGGCGACCGGCTCGAAGTCTCGGGTGTAAACTCTGCCGCTGGGCACGGAGTAGCAGCACTGACACATGCAGGTGTGGTAGCGCAGACGGCCCTCGTCCAGGTACGGGTGGGAGAGGGCGTCGCTGCCGGATATCCGTTTAGCCTGGAGGTAAACGGAGGGGGAGAGAGAGAGAGAGAGAGAGAGAGAGAGAGAGAGAGAGAGAGAGAGAGAGAGTGCTAACACTGTGCTGATTTTTAGTCGTCCACAGTTAAAATGTTAATTTAATCAGTTTCAACTCACAGGATCAAAGACCAACATCCGACAGAGCAGGTGCACCGCCTCGTGTGTGGCTCCGTCAGACAGCATGTAGAGCACCGACAGCGACGGCTGCAAAATAAAAGCATTATCTCATCGGTCGGTGTGAAGATCTGCTGCTGTACATTAAATATAAACCCGTCTGTTATCCAATGACTCACTGTCAGTTCATATAAACTGTAAAGTAAATATTGGTTTTTATTTGCAGCTGTTACTTTATGCAGATGTGACAAAACATCATTTATTCATTAGTTATATTATAAAACTATATTATACAGGAAACATATTCCTTGTTACTGCAGAAAAATGACTCAAAGCAGCAAAGTTAATCAATGTTAAATTAATAAAGAGAGAGAGCTGATATCAGCTCAATAATCAGTATTGGACAATAACCTCAGTAGAGATATCGGACATTTAATCTACAGTTTACAGTTTAAACTTAACTCGACATATAACAGAAAACTGCTTTTGGTTTTCACAGAATTTATGTTTGTTTTATAACGTAGCATATAAGTTAAATTATAAACATGTTAATATTCTCAAATTATTTAAGAAAGCAGCCTTTTGAATACAACATTTGTCTTTAATTCAGCCTCTATATCAATAATCAATCAATCCAATTATAATTAATTAGATTTCATTCCATTTAAATAAAACAAACAATAAAACTGAAGGATTAGAGTGATCTCTGTCACTTTACTTGCTCTTCTATAGTTTCTCATTTGTACTTGTATTCTTATTTTACTTTTACACATTTCTTTCTTTATGTTTCTCCATTAATCTTATTTATTTCTGTCAGATTTTCGTCTCTGATGATCAATAAAAGCTCATCTTACCTCAGATCAGGAGAATTATCACCAACCAGTGCATTTATTTATTTATCTCTTATTTCTTTCTGATCCTTAATGGACCTAAAGCTGTAGATTTGTCTCATGGCTTACTGCCCCCTGGTGGACATAAATCAATCAGTGTTTGTCTGAAACATCCTGATAAAACTACTTAATATTGATTTGGGCTTCAAGAATCCAATATTGATCAGGCTGCACATGAAGCTGAAACAATCAAAGAGCAGACTTTAAAGAGAAAGAAAGACGTTCACACTGGAGGTAGAAAAGGTTCATTAAAATCTTGCAGGGCTCCCGATCCGGTACTACAGTTCCTCTAACAGAACAGATTATATTCAGGATATTTGGTCATTTCAATCCATTTCTATGTGTTCTGAGTCTAATTCAATAAAATAACAACACCAGGTTTTAAAATAACTGGTTTAAGTTTGGATCCAGTTCAAATATGACACAAACAAAATCTCTAATTTAACCGTTTATCTCTCGGCTACAACAAAACCTTTTGGTTGTTGTCTGGTCGATGTGCTCAGCCACAGTCAGTCAGTTAGCTCACACAACTCTACGACTATCTTCTTAATACTTGGAGCAATAAACCTGAGATAAATGAGGTTTAAAAGTCAGAACGCTCCAGCTGACACTCACAACTGTTTCTGACGTTTAAAGCTTTAGATTTGATAAAAGATGCTGAGCTCAAAAAGGTTTAAGTGTTTCAGAACAGAATCAGTGTTTCTGTTGGTAGTGCTGGTGGTGGGCAGACCACACAGTCACGTACCGGTTTGTGCGGCCCCCTCAGGATGTGGGCTCTGGCTCCTTCGCAGGCCGACGCCAGGGCCGACAGAGGAGGCGTTCCCAGCAGGTCCGTGATCAGATCCAGCTGGAACAGAACGGGAAGGAGGACGGAGAGTGAGTTAAAGAAAGTGGTGGAAGATCAGTGTAAAAATACTAAACAATAAGTCCTGTACAAAAGTTTCTGGTATATAAAGCGTTAAAATACACAATATCACTTTGATGCTACACAGACTTTTAACAGGAGGAATGGTACGTCTGCTCTGACGCTACGTAACTCGACTGAGTTTGGTGAAACAGTGTTGGGTAAAACCGGTGATTATCAATCTAACTTTAGCCTGGTGTCACCTTAAAACATTTGTTTTCAGCTGTAAACTGAAATATCTGTAATATTCACATTACACATTCGCAAAGAGAGTTCACTTCCTCTAATCAGAGGAGGCCGCCCCACGCTCATGGCTGGCTAGCTTTTAGCTCTGACTACCAGCTCACTGTTTCTGCTCCCCTATAGTCACCGTCCTTTGTCCTTTGTCTCAGATGTCGTAATTTGTTGAGAGGCAGCGAGCTAGCAGGACTCTGCTTTAAGCTAAAAGGAACAAAGACCTCTGACCCACCCAGCCGTCAGTAGCTACAGATAAATGGACTCTGGAGGAGTTCCCGTCACCTGGCCTCACCTGCTGAATGGGACTCTGAGCCTGGAAGAGGATGCGTCGCCCCAGCAGCTCTGCAAAGATGCAGCCCACCGACCAGACGTCGATGGCCGAGCCGTAGTGTCGGCAGCCCATCAGCACCTCCGGCGCTCTGTAGTACTGCGTCACCACCTCCTGGGTCATGTGACGCGACGGGTCGGGCTCCTCCACCCGCGCCAAGCCGAAGTCACAAATCTAACACAGAGACAAAATCACACCACGGAGGGTTTCAAACCTGCTGTTGGTTTCTAAGGACAAATACTTAAATCAACAACCAGATTTGTGGCGTCAGTGCAGCCTGAAGTGAACACACATTGATCACATTGATTAGAGCTGTATTGATTAGGGCTGCACACAATAGTTTAAAGCCTCATTCACAACTCTCGAACTCAATGTTTACCTTCAGCAGACAGTTGCTGTTGACCAGCAGGTTTCCAGGTTTAATGTCCCTGTGCAGGATCCCAGCAGAGTGCAGGTACTTCAACCCTGAGCAAGAACACAACCGACACGTTTGGTTCTCATGTTACAGTAAACTCCAAACACATTGTTTCAACTACTTCTCCCTCAGACTGTCATAGTTTAGTTGACAGTAATCAACATTTTCTGAAACCAAACAACTAATTAATGGAGAAAATTAGATTACTTAATATTTAAACATGGAGATAAAAATGTTTGTGAAGCTACGCTAGAAAATTAAATTACTGTTCCAAAATAAAAGTACAGAACAGTTGCAGTGCAACCTTTTACATCTACAGCCAAAACTATTTGATAAATGAATTGATTGACAGAAAATGAATGTGCAAATACTTTGATGATGGGTTAATAGTTTCAGTCCTGCCATTGATATTCTCTGGTTCCTTTAATGTGAGTATTTACTCTTTTTCTTAAGGATTCACATAATTATTGGGACAGATAAATTATTATTTTTATCAGCCATCCACTTTTTTTTAAGTCATTGGGATAATTACATTAAATTCTTTAGAATTCTCATGTAAGTGATTGATAGGCTTTATTCTTACTAGAAAAAACTAAACAAACATTTAAAATAGTTAGAACCATATGTTGTTGTTGTGGAATAAACCAGGTCATAAACTTAAAATACAAAAATGTTTAACTATCTGTTATCGTATTGCCTGGAAAAAAAATAAAATCCATATCTTGCATCCTTAGTTTTTCTTTGTCCTGTGTGACATTTTAATGAGTCATCGATAATGAAAACAAACGTCGGTTGCAGCCCGTTACACAAACATAAACAGTTCCTCCCTACAACATCAAATACTGCTGGCACGGGCCGCTCACCTCGGAGGATCTGATAGAGGAAGACCTTGATGTGGTCGGTGGTGAGTGGCTGAGGAGACACGATCACTTTGTGGAGGTCGCTCTGCATCAGTTCTGTTATCACGTAGCTGCGGGGGGTTGACTGTCAAGGAAACAACAAAAACAAAATAGCTGGCACGCAAATGACCTCCGCCCACACGAACACGCTGCATCTCACAGGTCTCGCTCGACAGAGAGAGAGAGCATCGTGTCATCTACTCGCTTTAAATATGTCAACTAGTCGCATTAAATATTCATCAGTGGCCGGTCTCACATCTGCAGTGATGAGCTGCATTTAGAGATGAGTGGCTAAATTAAGTGAATAAAAAGGAGGACATGAGAGGGGCAATTAAAGGAAGAGAAAGTGGGACAGAAGGTGTGAGGAAGCAGATGTATGTGCTGGCAGCGAACACAGTCTATATGGTGGTAACATTAAACCAAATGAAGGCTGATTCTTGCTGTTTTTACCCCAAATACATAAAAAGAAAGGATACATTTCTTCGAAGCAGTCGATTTGTGGAGGCTGTAAAATGTCCAGAGCTGACAGAACCTGCACAGAAACACAAAAACAACATTTAGTCGGATTTTATCTGTAAATAAAATCCACAACAAACTGCTCTTGTCGCCTTCGTCCGGCCCTTACGTTGTCATGTTTGAAGAAGCACAGCATCCTCAGCTCTCTGAAGACCCTCTTGCAGGAGACCAGGTTCTGGAAGACATTAGGCATCTTCTTCAAAGCCACCTTGCGGCCGTCGCGTGGATCGGTAACCGACCTGCAAGACGTGGAGAGTCACAGTGAGCCGAGAGCTCTCCTGAAGCATCACACCGTACGATCTGATCATCCATTAATCGTTTGAGGTAGTTTAAATGCACAGACACCAAACATCTGCTGGTTTTAGAAGAACAAATGTGAGGGTTTGTCTTTGGCTTATATCAAAGTAAACTGAATATATTTGGGTTCTGGACTGTTGGTGAGACTAAAGCATTTAAAAATACATTTATTGGACCCTGGGGACAAAAAATCTGATCGTAGGATCATTTACTTGCTTCCTTAATATTCTTTATTACATTTTCATCCTCATTACTGAGTATTTTTCATTCCTATATACACATCAGCAAAGCACAATAGTTTCATAGATGTTATCATTGTTTAAAGCAGTGGTTCCTGACCAGGGGGTCGCAAAGCCGTCTGCATTTTAAGGAATGTAAGAAAACATAAATGTACACAGCAGAACTGTATCTCAGCATTCTGTTTAATTATGTAAAGAAAACTAAATTACATTATTATTAAAGTTTAGATTATTATTTAATATCTAAACTCTGAAATCCTGAACACAGATTATATTCAGAGCCTTCAGTCTCTGATTAACAGCTTCATCCTGCTTTAGAAAACAACCAAAGAGCTGATAGAACAATAAGAAAGAAACCGTGAATCTGACAAAAAAAGAAGCCTGTTAAGTCTAAATGATAAAAATACAAACTGGATTGTAAAAAAGGTTTCTAAAACTTATCTCTGATCAATATTTACAGGAAATAATCTGCTCAAAACTCATAGTCAGTGTTGACAACCACTGGGTTAAAGTGTCTTTTTACAGGTGTTTCACACAATCAAACATGTGGCCACCTGCTTCGTGTCATATCAATACACTGATCAGCTAAAATCTGAGGTTTCACACTTCCAATGTGATAATCAATAACAAACCTTTGTGGCTGTTCAACTTGTGTTATTTATGAGTGGAAATGCTGTTTATATGGATAACTTGTTACCAATATCGTCTCATGATGATACACAATCCAGAGTTTGGACAGAAAGACGATAAGATCACGTCGTGTTCTCAGGAATTTAAATATGTTACGTTTTGATAATTGTATTCAATTTGTTTGTCTTAAATGGCGACAGCAGGCGACTCCCCGAGAACTCAGTGACCTTGTGGAGCATCCAGAGGGAACTGTATGGTTCCTTTCTATAAACCCTCATTTGGACAGTCAGCTTTTTCTGTTCGGGGATTAAAATGTGGAATTCTACATTCTACAGTCATCAGTGATCTGGTTAGTTTGTCTCTTGTGTATTTGTTGAGTTTTATGTATTTTAAAAGCCGTATCTAGGGACGGGCATCACCAGATCTAAAGCTTTATATAAACAATAAATAAAAACAGGAGTTATTCAAACATCACGGTGTCACTTACGGTCCCGTTCAGCAGCCGTTTTAAACACCGGTAAGGTTTTTATTAACGAATATTTACCAGACGACACCGAATGCGCCATAACCGATGGGGCGGTCTGGCTCCATCTCCGCGGGGCTGGGCACCTCGCTGGCCGGGTTGCTGTAGGGCTGAGGCACCGCCGCTCCTCCGCCGGCGCTCCCTCCGAGAGCAGTGGGGTGGCGAGGGGTCCCGGCCGGGGCGGTGGGTCCAGTCAGGCACGGTGTGGCGCTGAGGCCCGTGGAGGGGGCTCCGCAGGAGGAGTTGACACAGAAATACTTGTGGCCCAGCTCAGAGCCCGGAAACAAGTCTCCACAGACGGTCTGCCGGCCGGCGCCGTGAAAGGCCATCCTCCTCTCACCAAACCCCGAAACAGTCCACTCTGTCGGCACCAAGCTGCTGCTGCTGCCCGGCTAGACGCGCAGGAAACACGACTCCTCACTCAGCATGATCCTAAAAATCAGAGCAAAGATTAACATGGAAGCACCTCAACTGGTTTATTAACATTATCAGTTCTCATTATTACCGTTTATCCATTAAACTTCTGTCTGTCATACAGTTCAGTACATATATTCCCATTATATACACATATATTCCCATTATATTATCCCTTCTGGACGGAGGTATAATAGTCCCAAGATTTTTTATTGTTTTTATTTGCATTTTATTTATTGATTTCTCTCTGTAAGTCCTAATTTTTAGAGCCTGGAGCTCTTTTATCTTTCTTATGTTTGTTTACTGTTTACTGAGTTGTTTGTTGTTTATATATTTTTGTCAAGAGGAAAGCCTTATTGTCTGGGTACAAATAAAGTAACTTTGAACCTTATCTATATCCCCTATATACTGTATTATAATGTGCATACTTCAGACTCTTCCTATATTTGTTTATTTTCTATATAAAATGTTGTTAGATATTTTAATATAATGCATATTCTCATTATTATTTCCATTTCTTTAATTTCCTGTGAGCAGCTGTAACAATGAACAACTTCACAGCGGTTGGAAGGAACGACTTTTAACTTGCACTTGAAAAGATATTTGGTAAGTTTGGGGACTTTGAATGTAATGACCCAACATGATGAACTGATCCTGAACTGCTGATGGAGTTTGTTTGCTTATTTTTGTATTTTGCTTATTTTTTCCTCCTTTTTTCTATAAACAGTAAATTACTAACTAAAAGTTTTTTTTAATAACATTTGTAAGTATTTTCCCTGTTTGTTGTTTTTGTTTGTTTAATAGTTCAGATCATGTCTGTTACTGTTATTTACCTTATTGTCTTCCTTGACAATAAAATAAATCGAAAATTATATAATTAATTATAACAAAACATTAAACCCACTTTGACCAGGCACTTAAAAACAATTCACTGTATTAAATTAATGTTAAAACATCCTACATCAAAACTTTACGCACTTTTGTCTGAAAATATACATTTAAAATAAATGTATTTATTGTTGTTTACATTCATTATCATTTTATTCTCTTATGTTCTGGTGTAAAACTAATATTACAGTTAATGCTGAGAAAAAAATATGAATTATTTTTAATGCTACAAAGTGAGTTTGTTATTTATTTGTTATTAATAAAAGGAATTAATCTCAGATATAAAGTTAAAAACATTAAAGTGTTCAGTATTTAGTCTGAAAGAGGAATATTAATGAAGTAAACACTTTACCTGGTTACTGACGCTGCTCGTTAACTCGGCTAGCTATCGGTCTCCAGGTGGCTAACGTCGGTTAGCGTCTCCAGAATATGAAAAAGTTAAATATTCCCCGCGATGTTAACCTCAGCCACGGAAGCTGCAGAGTAATCCTCACTAACACAATCATGTGCATGCACCTTTTTGCCTTTCTGCTTTAAATTACTGACAGAAAACAGCTTCTGCCGTCGGGCAACCTGCTAGCTACGGTGCTAACCAGCTGTTCCAGCTAATACGTTAACCCGCTGAAGCCTCTGACCCACATACCTACCGTCGGTCGGTTACAGTGACCCACATACCCCGCACACAAAGCCCCGCACACTCCTAACTGATCCTAACAGACGGACAAACCGAGCTCGGTTGAATTTAAGGCGGTATGACACGAAAATAAACGTCAAAAAGGCCAAAAAATCCGAGTTAGTTGTTCGTCGGCGGAGCGGCTTCCTCCGGCTAGCTCTGTGATGTAGCCGACCAGCTAGCTGCAGCTAGCTCTGGACCGCTCGCTAGCTGCTCATCACGTCGTAATATCCCGAAACAAGCTCCACATAAAGCCACATAAAGCCGCATAAAGGCGCATAAAGGCGCATAAAGGCGCATAAAGGCGGGTTCTTGTGTTTTCTGGATGAATGTGTCTCATCCAGCAGTCTGCGTTACTTTAAACCAGCGACAGCTACTGCTAGCTGGCTAACTTCCGAAGTAGGAGGAGCTGGTAAAGCCGAGTGGGGGAGGGTCGGTGCTCCTATCAGCCTGCTGTACACAGAGCTAACATTAGGTCCCTTAATGCTAACATTAGGTCCCTTAATGCTAACATTAGGTCCCTTAATGCTAACATTAGGTCCCTTAATGCTAACATTAAAGGTCCCTTAAACAGTGCTAACATTAGGTCCCTTAATGCTAACATTAGGTCCCTTAATGCTAACATTAGGTCCCTTAATGCTAACATTAGGTCCCTTAATGCTAACATTAGGTCCCTTAATGCTAACATTAGGTCCCTTAATGCTAACATTAGGTCCCTTAAACAGAGCTAACATTAGGTCCCTTAATGCTAACATTAGGTCCCTTAATGCTAACATTAAAGGTCCCTTAAACAGAGCTAACATTAGGTCCCTTAATGCTAACATTAGGTCCCTTAAACAGAGCTAACATTAGGTCCCTTAATGCTAACATTAGGTCCCTTAATGCTAACATTAAAGGTCCCTTAAACAGAGCTAACATTAGGTCCCTTAATGCTAACATTAGGTCCCTTAAACAGAGCTAACATTAGGTCCCTTAATGCTAACATTAGGTCCCTTAATGCAAACATTAGGTCCCTTAAACAGAGCTAACATTAGGTCCCTTAATGCAACATTAGGTCCCTTAATGCTAACATTAAAGGTCCATTAAACAGTGCTAACATTAGGTCCCTTAATGCTAACATTAAAGGTCCATTAAACAGTGCTAACATTAGGTCCCTTAATGTTAACATTAGGTCCCTTAATGCTAACATTAAAGGTCCATTAAACAGTGCTAACATTAGGTCCCTTAATGCTAACATTAGGTCCCTTAATGCTAACATTAAAGGTCCATTAAACAGTGCTAACATTAGCTCCCTTAATGCTAACATTAGGTCCCTTAATGCTAACATTAGGTCCCTTAATGCTAACATTAAAGGTCATTAAACAGAGCTAACATTAGGTCCCTTAATGCTAACATTAGGTCCCTTAATGCTAACATTAGGTCCCTTAATGCTAACATTAGGTCCCTTAAACAGAGCTAACATTAGGTCCCTTAATGCTAACATTAGGTCCCTTAATGCTAACATTAAAGGTCCATTAAACAGTGCTAACATTAGGTCCCTTAAACAGAGCTAACATAAGGTCCCTTAATGCTAACATAAGGTCCCTTAATGCTAACATTAAAGGTCCCTTAAACAGTGCTAACATTAGGTCCCTTAATGCTAACATTAGGTCCCTTAATGCTAACATTAAAGGTCCCTTAAACAGAGCTAACATTAGGTCCCTTAATGCTAACATTAGGTCCCTTAATGCTAACATTAAAGGTCCCTTAAACAGAGCTAACATTAGGTCCCTTAATGCTAACATTAGGTCCCTTAATGCTAACATTAAAGGTCCCTTAAACAGAGCTAACATTAGGTCCCTTAATGTATTAGGTCCTTAATGCTAACATTAAAGGTCCCTTAAACAGTGCTAACATTAGGTCCCTTAATGCTAACATTAAGGTCCCTTAATGCTAACATTAGGTCTCTTAATGCTAACATTAGGTCCCTTAATGCTAACATTAGGTCCCTTAATGCTAACATTAGGTCCCTTAAACAGAGCTAACATTAGGTCCCTTAATGCTAACATTAGGTCCCTTAATGCTAACATTAAAGGTCCCTTAAACAGTGCTAACATTAGGTCCCTTAATGCTAACATTAGGTCCCTTAATGCTAACATTAGGTCCCTTAATGCTAACATTAAAGGTCCCTTAATGCTAACATTAAAGGTCCCTTAAATAGTGCTAACATTAAAGGTCCCTTAATGCTAACATTAAAGGTCCCTTAAAATGCTAACATTAAAGGTCCCTTAATGCTAACATTAAAGGTCCCTTAAACAGAGCTAACATTAGGTCCCTTAATGCTAACATTAAAGGTCCCTTAAACAGTGCTAACATTAGGTCCCTTAATGCTAACATTAGGTCCCTTAATGCTAACATTAGGTCCCTTAAAGCTAACATTAGGTCCCTTAATGCTAACATTAAAGGTCCCTTAAACAGTGCTAACATTAGGTCCCTTAATGCTAACATTAGGTCCCTTAAATGCTAACATTAGGTCCCTTAATGCTACATTAAAGCTAACATTAGGTTCCTTTAATGCTAACATTAGGTCCCTTAAACAGAGCTAACATTAGGTCCCTTAAACAGAGCTAACATTAGGTCCCTTAATGCTAACATTAAAGGTCCCTTAATGCTAACATTAAAGGTCCCTTAAATAGTGCTAACATTAGGTCCCTTAATGCTAACATTAGGTCCCTTAATGCTAACATTAAAGGTTCCCTAAACAGAGCTAACATTAAAGGTCCCTTAATGCTAACATAAGGTCCCTTAATGCTAACATTAAAGGCCCCTTAAAGCTAACATTAGGTCCCTTAATGCTAACATTAGGTCCCTTAATGCTAACATAAGGTCCCTTAATGCTAACATTAAAGGCCCCTTAAAGCTAACATTAGGTCCCTTAATGCTAACATTATGGTCCCTTAATGCTAACAGGTTCCCAAAGGTCCCTTAAACAGTGCTAACATTAGTTCCCTTAATGCTCAACATTAGGTCCCTTAAACAGAGCTAACATTAGGTCCCTGTAATGCTTCTCAACATTAGGTCCCTATAAAATGTACATTTGAATTTAAAGGTCCTCCTCCTCACCTATAAAGCTCATCATGGTCAGGTCCCTTCATATCTTAAAGTGCTACATTTCTAATCTAGGTCCCTTAATGCTAACTTTAGTAGTAGGGTTGGGAGGCAGACACCCTCACCACATTAAGAGAGGAAAATTCCTTTTTAAAAGCTTATAGTTAGGCTGGATCAGGTGAGTCCTGAACCATCCCTTAGTTATGCTGCTATAGGCCTAGACTATCGGGGATTTCCCATTGTGAACATTAGCTCCTCTCTTCCTCTCTCTTTCTGCACTCATTCATGTTCCATTAATGCTAACATTAAAGGTTCCCTAAACAGAGCTAACATTAAAGGTCCCTTAAATGCTAACATAAGGTCCCTTAATGCTAACATTAAAGGTCCCTTAAACAGTGCTAACATTAAAGGTCCCCTTAATGCATTAGTCCTTAATGCTAACATTAAAGGTCCCTTAAAGAGTGCTAACATTAAAGGTCCCTTAAACAGTGCTAACATTAGGTCCCTTAATGCTAACATTAAAGGTCCCTTAAACAGTGCTAACATTAGGTCCCTTAATGCTAACATTAAAGGTCCCTTAAACAGAGCTAACATTAAAGGTCCCTTAAACAGAGCTAACATTAGGTCCCTTAATGCTAACATTAAAGGTCCCTAAACAGTGCTAACATTAAAGGTCCCTTAAACAGAGCTAACATTAAAGGTCCCTTAAACAGAGATAACATTAGGTCCTTAATGCTAACATTAGGTCCCTAATGCTAACATTAGGTCCCTTAATGCTAACATTAAAGGTCCCTTAAACAGTGCTAACATTGATGTAATTATTTTGAGATACTAAGTCAAAATATTCTGAAAGTTTCTTATTATTTTCAGATAATAAACTTCCCATTTTATGGCAAATCGTCAAAATCCGATGACACGCCACAGGCACACATGTCGATGTACAGTCACAATTAGCACAACTGTTAATTGTTAATGTTTTTAGACCGAATCTGAAGTCGATCCGATAAATTCCCTCAAATACGAAACATCGCCAAAAATGACCACAAAATTCAAAAAGGCCGACTTCCTGTTGGGTTTGGGGTATGGGTCTAACAGGCTTTTTTGCTTGTCTGATCATGACACGTGAACCAATTTTCATACATGTCGGTCGTACGTGTCTTAGGGGCTGATTCTGGGGGGCGGGACCAAGAGAATACCTTGCTACGCATGTTACTGCTCGGGCCCTAATAAATAAATATCGGAAGTTTTCCTGCTGGACACAAGATGTTTCACTGTACAGTCCATCCTCAGTGTATAAGGGGAACTATCTCTGCCCAGTAACTGGTAGTGTAACTAATTACTTATTCATTTATTATTGTATATTAATAGTTACAACCTTACTTTTGTTGCTGATTTGAAATCCAATCACATCCCTGGATCCAGCTTTGTAATCGTGCACATGTGCAGTGCAGACATCCTGTGGCTGCTGTGATATAACCCACAGCTGTTCGGGGCCCTGGTCCCGGAGGGTTCCTCATTCCTCGCTCAGTTGCACATGGTGACGGTATTTGCCCACAGACGTTACTGTCTGCTCTCGTACATGTGAAGGCACACCCCAAACAGTTTCCTGGGGCGATTTCAACAAGCTATGTGTGTCGTACAGCGGTGGAAAACATGATGAAGTTAATAAGTTAGGTTTTGAGTAAGGAATAAAAACCGTTGGTTATTCTTGTAAAAATGAATAAAAAAATATATTTCCTGTTGTCCTGTCCAACCATGTGTTGATACTTTATGCACCAGCTCACACTCACACTAGTATTCATGTATTCATTCTGTATTTTGGCCAAAATGCTGCTCTGATTAACATGTTTCTGTTTTTACATCCAACCGCTGCACATTCCTGCAGCGCTGTTCCACGTGGTGAATTAATGTCAACCAGTATGTATACATATATATATCTCAGGTTCAATTTCTCCTGTTGCTAAAAAAAAAAATCTGTTCAGAATTAAGCGAGTTAGTCGATTTTGTAGTGAATCTGAATCCCTCAGTGTTGTTAATCAGCGGATCTGACCTCCGCAATATGGTGACCAGAGAGGTATCTACACCTCTATATTTATGCTTCAGACCACCACCTCCTGAATAAAGAGCAGCAGCCACCCAGACACTCACGAAGATCATTTCAACTTGAATCCACACATGCATTTTACTGCCTTTTAATACAGTAGTAACGAGGCGCTATGCACTATGCATCAAGTACAATCAATATGCACAGCCACAGAAATGTGTCACCAAGGTAGCTACAAATTACATGGAGGCAAGTTCTCAAGAATTACAAATCAGCATCCAGCGTTAAGAGCAAAGATCATATGAAGCAGAGAAGTTATGCACATTCAATGTTCATGGGGGGGGGGGGTTATACACAAACAACTATGAGTTTGCCTTTATCAGCGATATAAAAGTGTATGTACACCATGGCCCGTCTGAAACAGCTGCTCCTGTGTCCCGTTAGGTTTCCCTGCTCTGAAGACTCTGACAAAGGCAAACTGGAGACTGTTTTGTAATAAATTAGGGGAAGAACTCAGGTGTTTTCCTACGTGAGCCTACTTGAGGTCTTTAGGTCCTCGTTATAAACAAACACTGATTTCATGGAATATAAATGATCTAAAAACGGCAACGGCTTTTACAAAATCATGACAGGCTGTGCAAGTCAGTGGAAAATAAAAACAATAACATGATGGCGAATACAAACAGCTAAATGCTAAGCCATATAATAAAAATACACGTTCATTTTCCTCCTTAATGAATGAGCAGAGGTGTTCCTCATTGTCTCTTCCCTGGCTTTGACTCAATTCTGCAGGACACTGTACAGGAAGTAACGTGTGCGGTAAAAGTGTCTCTCGGCGTTCGTGGCAGGTGAGCGGAGCGGAGACGAAGGTCCGAAAAAAAGGCCGGAAAGACGACTTCCAGGGCGGCTTCTCCCGGTCTGTGTCCACGTTTGGCAGTCTGTTAAGAAAACATCTGGAGAGTGAAAACGAAAGCAGTTAAAACGTGTTTGAGGCTTTTCTGTTCTCAAATGTATCTTTTATTACAATAATGTTTGTTTTAAATGTGTTATATTTCAGCATACTGACGGAAAGGTTTGTAATCAGTTGATAAAGCTGTAGAAGTTGTCACCATTTGAAAGTAAGCCTCTGTATCTGGGTATTTACTGGTGTTATTGACATTTTACAAACTATTCTACACATTTTGCTCTAGAAATGCACAGTGGACGCCCTCTACTGGTAGAAACTGGCTATTACAGTTGAATTTTGTTATTAGCTGATCTGGAGGAAGCTTTTCCAAACAACCCCTGCTGCTATAAAACCAACGTCTCCACTCTGCACACTGCGGCTGCTACGTAGCCGTTAGCCTCTCTGCTTGCTCAGCTAACATCACAACACAGCTTAGCCACAAACAGCTAGCACAAAGACACTTTTACAAACAGCGTGAATGTGCTTCTAGTGACTCCAAAAGCTCCAACAGACTCTGAGTTTCCAGTTTAACTTCAGCCTTGCTTGTCCACAACCACGTAATCCATGAGGTTTATTATAAGGATGAGTAACAGAGGAGCAGAACTGTGGAGACTTTAACAGCCAGGCTCATTCGTGTCAAAACGTAAAACCTGCCGCCTACGTTACCCACAATGCAACGTCAATGCAGACAGCTCAAGGTCGTGGTGTGTTATGCTAGTTGCCTGGAGCCTTTCAGCAGAGATGAGGAGCAGCTACCTGTTGGCCTCAATTCTTTCTAACCCCACAACAACAGATTTCTTTAAGTCTCCAACCTTGTAGCCCCCCCAATATGTGCAGGAGAACTCCCCAACACAGAATCAGTTTAAATGAAAAGACTTATACAGACTCATCATTGACACACCTGGATTGGACGCCGTCTTCCCAGTCCTCTCCTCAGTGACTCCTTGTTGGCCTTTGCCTCCATTAAACCACCCCCCCGCCCGCCCCTTCATCCCCAGCCCCACCCGTCCCACCCCGCCCCACCCCGCCCTCGCCCTCCCAGCGTGCTAGCTGTGGGGCTGGGGGGCGATACTGGAGCAGTCAGTTACCAGCAGTCCCACTGTGCTGGCGCTGGACACAGTGACAGCCACGCTGGTGGTGCCCACGGGGCCCGCGCTCGTCGGGTCGGGGCTGGGGTCGCTCTGGTTGGCGTGGGTGCCCATGTGACCCTGGAGCTGCGTGGCCGTCTTGCACTGCACCCCGCACAGCTGGCAGAGCAGCACCCCGCCGGCACCCGTCCCACCGAAGCCCCCCCGCGCCCCGCCGCTCTCCTTCCACTCCTGGCCGTGGTGCTTCTGAGCGTGGACTCGCAGGTAGGTGAGCGTGGTGAAACCTGGAGACAGAGACATTAAGTTACTTAAAGATTTTCTACATGAGATTAAATGATGAATAAAGTGTGAAAAGGTGTATTAGTGAACTCCATCAGAGTGCGACTCACTGCGGTTGCAGAGGTGACAGGCGTGGTGCTGCGACTGGTTGTGGACCCTCATGTGGTCGGTGATGTAAGCGGCCGACAGCAGCTTCCCGCAGATGTGACACGGCACTTTCTCCTCGTGGCGGATCAGGTGGGCACGCAGACGATCCCGCGTGGCAAACGCTGACGTGCACGTCTGTGGAAAACAACGAGACATTTATGGTCACGCACAGAACGGAGTCAGAACACGTGAGGATGTCAAAGTGGTGTCGGAGTGGTTTTATGATTACAGTCAGTACAGTGCTGGACCTGATACTGATACCGGTATCGGTGCATCTCTACCCAATCACAGCATGGAGGTTTTAATGGGTTTCTCAGGGTCTTGGTGTCTGTGGTGAAATCCCACTGAGAGCGTTGCCTAACTGACTTTTGACCTTTTGTGTTTATCTCCAATTCAACTGACTGGTTGACGTCCGGCTCGGTGCCACAGGGTCGGTGTACTCACAGATTATTGTTTTGAACCAAAATCAGGAAATTACTACTTTTGTTTTGAAAATAAAAACAGAAAATGATTAAGAAGACAACTGTTTCATTCCCCACATTTATAAATGGTAGTTTGTTTTTCTCATTTCAAAAGAAAAATCTGTTCACTGCGAAGTTCACTGACTCACAATGTTGATGCTCCGGTTCTGCACCTGTATTTTATTCTGAAAACCGACCAGCTTCTCTGCGTCTGACTTCCTGCCAGTGCGATCTGCTCTGTGCTGTTTGACGCGGGTTGAAAATAGAGCAGCTGTGTATTCTCCGTGGAGCAGAGCGGCAACGTCCAGTCACATTTTGGAGGGTGGTGATTAAATTTTGCATCAATTCTGTTGAACATCAGCCTGACAACAGTACACACATAATGCTCCAGGCCCTCATATGAGGCCTTAAATACAGAGAAACTGGGTCTGTGGTGGGTGGAAGAGGTTAAAGTCTTTTACTTTTATATAAAAATAAACATTTTGTTTGTTTGTTTGTAATTAACTTTGCATTTGTGTGTGTCACAGCTCGTATATACGGGTTAGACCAGAGGTTCCCAACAGCTGATAAACTACACAATAAACCCAAACAGTGACACAATAACTGCAGGAAGTTTGAGTAAAAGCAGAGATTTGGATGAATTATCAGATTATGTCCTCGGATTATTAATCAGAGATGAGTTTAACTGATATTTTAATACAATTCTCTGTCAGTATTCTGTTTTATAACAATCATACGCACTTCATAAGCTTCTTTTAGCTTGTTTTAATAATCATCATCATAATCATCATCATCATCATCATCATCCAGTGTTTCATGCTCTATATGATTCACAAACCCATATTGGTTGAACTCCAGTAAACAGACAGATGAAGACGTTACCGTGCACTTGAACGGTCTCTCTGTAGAGTGCACCTGTCGAACGTGGCTGTTGAGGTGATCTGGTCTGCAACAATAAACACAGAGAACAAAACCCGTCACTATAAACCACCAAATGTCTCCACACTAGATTGTACGTGTCCACTGACAGTTGGTATGGATAGCCTGGGACACACTGAGCCAAAGAGAGGTAGGATTTTATGATTTTAACTTTAGACTTTCTGACAGGTCTCCTCACCAAGCAACTCTAAAGGACATGGATCAAAGTTAGTACCGAGAGAAGGCCTTGGCGCAGTGCGGACAGATGTAAGGTTTCTCCACGCCGCCTTGGTGCGAGCGCACGTGGTAGCTCATCCGGTCTTTCCTCTTGAAGCGCTGCTGGCAGATGGGGCAGGAGTAGGGCTTCTCGTCCGAGTGGGACAGGCGGTGGCGGTTGAGGTGGTAGACGTCTCTGAAGGCCTTCCCACAGGCCTCGCAGGCGTGGTTCTTCCTCACCTGGTTGGTGTTGGGGTTGGGGATGGGGTTCGGATTCTGTGGAGCAGCAGAGGAGTTCAGTGCAGTCAGGAAAGAGCTGGAGGTTTATGTATCAGATATAAACATATATCAGCTAACAGCTATTCTCTATATACAGATACAGAGTCACATGGTGTCTCTCTCCCTCTGCCTGTGTTGTATCGCAGCCTCTCTGTGGTTTGTTTCCATAGCCGGTCTGCTCCGACTGAAACTGCTGTTTTTATCATCAAGGTCGGTGAATTAAGGATTTATTTCCACCAAACCAGAGTTGGTGATTGTTGGAAACACTAACAGAGACGCTTTAATCAGTTTTATTCTGTTTCTGTCCACTTTAATGAAGTTACGATGATCCAAAGGTAAAATGAGTGTTTCTGTCTCTGGAGTCTGGTGGAGAGTGATAGTGATATTACGGCTGTTTGTGGTTAAACTAAAGGTCTATCTCTGTAGGGATCCTTTCTATAATGCTGTCAGACACTGACAATAACAACCTGAGTCTGTCAGTGGAACAAACAACAACTACTGTTAGTGGAACAAACAACAACTACTGTCAGTGGCATTAAGGTTCATATCGCTCAAACCAGAGTTGTTGATTGCTGGAAAGACTAAAGAAATAAGACGGTTCTGGTGAGTTTTATTTTCTTTCTGTCCACTTTGAAGTGTTTTATGATCATCTGCTTGGTAAAATCACTGGTTTTGTTACTGGAGTCTGGTTGGCCGTAGTTAAAATAAATATTAAAATAAACAGAAATCATAAAATGTAGTCTGCTAACACCTCAGCTGCTGTCAGAGTCACACAGAGATAAATAACCAGGTTTATGTTAAAATATGATGAAATAATAAGAATAAGACGCTGTGTTGTTGAGGCCAGAAGCTGAGTGGAGGTATTTTCTGCCCCCCCCCAAGTGGACCCACCTGCTCCATGGAGCCCACGACAACAACAGCTGCCTGGATGGGTTGAGGCTGCGCAGCCATGGTTACAGTTGCCGGGGCGATGGACACAGAGACCGGCTGGCTCTCCTGGTTGGCGTGCTGACCGGGCTGCGGTGGGGGGAGGGTCTCCGGGGCGGTGGTGGGGGGAGGGGCCGGGGGGAGGCTGGGGGGCAGGGTGAGGTGGAGGAGGGAGAGAGGGACCGTCTGTTTATCCAGCCGTCCCACCTTCCCCGCCTCCTCCTTCTCGCGGGCGGCGCGGTCCTTCATCTTGATGCCCGTGTGCACCGACTGGTGCCGCCGCAGGTTGTAGCTGTTCTTGAACTCCTTGTTGCAGGTGGCGCAGATGTGGGCCGGCCGGCTCGGTTTGGTGAGCGGTTTGACTGAAAACACCACATTTTAATCAACCAGCAGAATTTATTATATACTTTTATATACGTCTGTTTTGTTGCAGAACAACGGAAGAAATAAGGCGTCAAAAGAAGAGAAATTAAACAATTATCAGTATCAACAATTATTAGCTAGAGCTTTAATTCCCTTTCCGAGCCAGAACTCTATTTTTTGGACTTAAAAAAATAAAAATATTTTATAAATAATGAAATGAAATGAGTGAGTGAATTTATTATGTATTAGTGTTGATAATGATTTGCAATATATTATGTGCACAATGTAGTTTACTTATAATAAACTATTTTAATTCATTATTTATTCATTAACTTTAAGCAAACATTCGGGTTCGGGCCCAACGCTGCCTCTATAGTTCGGGTTCACACATCTCACCCAACATTTTACAGAATTCAACCATTCAACCAACCAAATGTTTTTTTCAAACAGGCTCGTAAACACGTGTCTTCATCGACTTCCTTTAACATAAAATATAGACGAGTTATCGACATATTTCCATTATTCTGTGCACATTATAATCTAATATACTCGGTTATCTTGGTGAGTAACATGTTATAGATTTCACAATGTGCCTGGTATTTAAGGGAGAGCAGTTTACAGTCTGGAGTGAAGTCCCTCTATTATATCTGTGGTTCCAACCTGGGGGTCGGGACCCCCACTAGGGGTCACTGAAGCTTGAGGGGGGGTTACAAGGTCTTCGAGATTTTAAGATGTGCAAGAAACCTATAAAATACCCACTGTAGGCCGATATCTCAGTGTTTGGTTCACTTATAAGATTAGTAACTGATAGAACAATGGCCGAACATCAGGGAGACAAAAACCCTGAATTTATCAAAACAGAATCTTATTGAATCTGTTTGATTGTTAGAAATAATACAAATAAATAATAGAGACAGAGAATTGTGTAAAAAGTTCCCTAAACAGGAAATAATCTGCTTCACTGTTAATAAATAAATATCTATATATCTGAGTCAGTTTATGAATGATAGTAAAAGGTCCTTTAAAGAGAAAGGTTGGGAACTGCTGCACTACATTATAACACAGTGTATATTCAATGTAAAAGCACACTGAGCCAACAGTTTACAACCCGCCCTCCTCACCCGGTAGCGGCTCCTCGCTGAGGGCGGCGGTGTCGACGGTGGACGGCGGCGTCACGATGTGCTCCGCTGGAGGACTCTGAGCGGAGCCGGTCAGCTCCGGCAGCAGCTCGGACTGAAGAGGCGTCTCAGGTTGACTCTGAGTCGACGGCGTCTGCCACAATCAGACAGGAAGTGTCTTTAATCCTTTTATTGTTGAAACAACCGACTGATCCCACCGATGGGAGGTCGGGATCAGGTGTAATATTACCAGCTGGTCTACTGTTGAGGGACGTCTGTGTCCAATCATTGATTATTTCACTGTTCTGATCATCAATTAAGTTCATTTTTAGGTAAAAAGCTGCACAGGAGAGAGGATCTGCTGTTTAACTCAGTTTTATATAATTATAGACTAAATATTTTTGGGTTTGTTGGTCAGAAGATCTGAAGATTTCACTGAGACTGAGGACGTTCCTCACCTGACTTATTGACCAAACACTTAAAAGGTTTTATATAAATCAGATATAAACATTAACATTATATTCTCTATATACAGTCACATGGTGTCTCTCTCCCTCTGCCTGTGTTGTATCGCAGCCTCTCTGTGGGTTGTTTCCATAGCCGGTCTGCTCCGACTGAATCTGCTGTTTTTATCATCTACGTCGGTGAATTAAGGATTTATTTCCACCAAACCAGAGTTGGTGATTGTTGGAAACACTAACAGAGACGCTTTTAATGAGTTTTATTCTGTTTCTGTCCACTTTAATGAAGTTACGATGATCTGAAGGTAAAATGAGTGTTTCTGTCTCTGGAGTCTGGTGGAGAGTGATAGTGATATTACTGTTTGTGGTTAAACTAAAGGTCTATCTCTGTAGGGATCCTTTCTGTAATGGAGTTCCTGATTCTTAACAAAGACGGTTTTGGTGAGTTTTATTTGTTTCTGTTCTGATTATTTGTAAAATTACAGGTTTTGTGAATGGAGTCTGCATCAGTACTCTGTCCCATCCTGTCACCTTCAAGTGAACTAACAGAAATATAACAGGAATACACAGAGTGAGAACATAAACTCAAGTATCTCATGTTATTGACTTCCTCATTATTTAGAGATTAGTCATTATAATGACCCACAGAATACTTTTTACTCTCGTCACATTGGTGGAAATGATCAAAAATACATAATACAGACAGAATTGTATAAAAACAGGAAATAATCTGGTTTTACACAAACTTTAACAAACAGTTACTGAGTTCACTGTCTGTGTTCACTGTTTAAATATAATATGAATATAAGTTTATTAAATGATAGAAAGTTAGGTACTACTAGTTTATAACACAGGGACTTTCTCCTGTGCAGGACGGGCCACTTTAAAGAGTCATTTGGGGCATAAGCCCAGTTCTGCCCCACCGATGAAGATTTTACACATTAATAACATTAAATAAAATTAAATAAAATTAATAACATTTAATAACACAGATAGAAACAGAAAGTTTAGGGAGAAATTCACCTCCTGAATCAGCACATGTGCACCAAAGCTAACTTTTACCTTGACCCCTCTGTGACCCCCTCCACCTCCTCCCTCCTCTTTAACCCCCCATGCAGATGTCAACACCCCCCCCCCAACCTCCCACCCTCCACCCTCCTCTCCCCCCACCCAAATAACACCCCCATACAGCAGCTCCTCCAGCATCAATTAAGACTTACCTGAAAGAGGAAATTACTCCAGGAGGTGTCCATCGTGAACACTGCGGGGACTCGGAGCTCACCAGCCGGGGAGCAGCCGAGGGGAGCAGCCGAGGGGAGGAGGGAGGGCACCGGAGCCCAGGAAGAAAAGCTCCAACTGCTGCTATGAAAACACAACCTGAGGCCCGTACCGCTCCTCTACCTGCCCGGGTTAATTAATGCAGATATGTAATGTTATTTAGCTTTAAATAAAACCACTTATAAGGGATTAGGCTGCTGTGAGTTATGAATTAATATCTGTTGGAGCTTTTACAGGCACGGACAAGATGGTTTTTGTAAATGCGACAAAATGGTTGGTATCATGCTTTGCTTTTTTTAATGGTGCATTTTTAATATCATTTGCTTATGTCTACTGTAATAAAATATGCATGCAAATTAGAGCTATTGTTATGCAGAAGACGATGTAGCCGAGACGTGCTAATCATAGTCAGCAGGAGTTCATTTATTTTGCGATAGCTCCGAAAAAAGGCCGCAGCGTCGGCGCTCCAAGCCTCGGCGTTGCGTAGAGCTCGTCCCCTAACTAGAGCGCTCCCGGTCGGCCGCGGTCCGTGGCTCCGCCTCGGTGTTTCAATCGACAGGATGACATCTTTCTCTTTTTTTCAAATCTCTCTCTCCCTCGCTCCCTCTCGCCCTCCCTCCCTCTCTGTCTTTCTTCCTTTTCTTTTTTTTCCCCTCTTTCACCCCCTCTGTCCCTCTCTGCTTTAAAGGGAAAGTATTTTGTGTATGCACCCTCCTCGCGGACCCCGTCTCGTCTCGTGCCGTCCCTCTCGCCCCCGCCGCCGCCGCCACTCTCTCGGTAGGCCGACAAATAATGAAATCCGACATTTATACAACCAGCTCGGCCGTTGATCCCCCGCGCGTCGCCGTCGAGAGAAAGTCCGCCCGCAGCTCCCGTAGAAACACACGAGCGGTCATCCGGACGTCGCTCGCCAAACTCTTAAACTAAAATGGTGTCGGGTTTAGCTAAATCAAGGCTTTATCCTCGAGCATCTTAAAGGTAACGATGCGCGCAAGTGCAACAGCTGGATCTAACCTCAACTCACATGACGTCCATTCTTGAGTGGAGCCAGACGGAGAGGCGCACCAGACTCCATTCACAAAAATCTTAATTTTAATGTCTGCTTCCTTTAAGTGTATTTTGATAAGAGTGTTAATGATGTTCAACGTTCAATAAGAGTCGCTCATAAATTCGGCATTGATATATTAAACTAAACACTATTATATTAATATGTTTTTTAAATTTTGTTTCCATTATGTGACTGAAGATAGTGGTCCTTTGATGCTATAAACTGACTGAAGGACTTTGTAGATATTATATTCAGGCTTGGGGAGTAACAGATTACATGTAACTGAGTTATGTAATCAGGATACAAAGAAAGGTAACTGTAATCCATTCTTGAGTTGGGGGGGCAGACATAGTGGTACACCAAACTCTATTAAAAAAATCTAAAATTTAATGCACACTTACATTAAGTTTGTGATAATAAGCAGTGTGAGTTAAGTTTTTCGTTCAGTAAGAGCCACTCATAAATTTGGCATTCATACAATACACCAAACAGTATTCTAATAGTTTAAAAAAACATCACAGTGCGAGTTCTGTCTTCCAGCTGTGAAAATGATCTACAGGCTGTATATTATTTGTGTATGTTTGTCTTCAGGTAATCTAAAAGTAATGTAAAGTAATGAAGTGACATTACTTTAATTTTGTGATACTTGGATCAGGTTACAGACTGCTTACAGATCAGTAACTATCAGATTAACCTGGATTATACTGAAGGGACATTTAATGAGAGTTTGTCTGTAACAGAGTTATTATAGGTTTTATTTAGTTTTTATTTCAGTTAGTTTCCGGAGTGGGTTTGCTCGTTTAGTTTAGTTTTGAAAAGGTTGATATGTGAGTATGTGTCAGGTGTGAGATTTAGGAAGTTAAGAATTACAACAGCAGGTCGTCCTGATGCTTGTTACTAAAGACATTTCCTGTATATTTGTCTTTTATTTGGTTTTGTAAGTAAACCACATCCTCTCAGTTCGATCTAGTTTTTTTCTTTTTTTGCAGTCTAGTTTCTATTTTTATGTGACTCAAATGTTTTTTTAAAGGCAGTTTTAGTGAATTATAATAACCTCTGTACTGTGTATTATTTCTCCTTCTCATCCCACCCTGACCCCTGACCCCTGACCCCTGAGTCTTGTCTGTCCCCAGCTCAACCAGCATCAACATCTGATGACCTCCTTGTTTCCATTTATTTATTTATTTCTGTAAGAGCAAATAAGTGTTTGTTCATTAAAAATGTTGACACATCCTTGAACTGAAATCTGTGTCGTGTCACTTTGTTCTTCCAGAACCCTCCACGGTGGAAACAACACACACACACACACACACACACACACACACACACACACACACACACACACACACACATATATGTATATACAGTCTGTATGTGCTCCTGTGTCCTTTCTTTCTCTTGTTTCATGATCTTTAAATTCCAGGTGAGATGAGAAATGTCATGTTAACCCTTTAAGACTGTATCCTCAGTTATATTCTACCTCTATTTAACAATGAATGCCAAAAAAATGAACAAAAACGAAATTATTTTGTCTTCCTGTAAAACAAAATGTGACGCTTTCTTATGTAAGCACCAATTTAAATGAATTGTTACTGCTTGAAGTTTTTAATTTTATGTGACTTACATCAAATCTTTACACTTTGAAGAATTATTTGGATGCAAACTTAGTGTATGATGATTTATAAATTGAAATAAAGCTGAGCTATACAGCATTTTAACACTGATGAAGGAAACTATTCATGAAAGCAGAGCAGCAGGAACATAAAACATTTTTAAGGTTGTGAAAATACAATTATAAACCCGGAATATTTCTCCAGGATCTGCAGATAAAGTGAGAAAAACAAGAAATCTGGTTTTATTTTCTTTATTTAATAGCTGCTTTTACAGTTAGTTCAAACCACCTGCACTCCAAACAAAGATAACCATCAAATATATTAATAATTACAACAATTGATGTCTTTTAAATACAACATTAGACTTTGCTTTACGGTTGTCTGTTGATATACATTTTGTATTTATAATAATACATTCTAGGAAATGAGTTCCATCAAAAACAAGATAACATATGAACACTTTTCACGCATTCTGCAGTGAAACTTGGCTTTACAGTAGTCCGTAAGCAGCACATACGTGTGGTCAGTGACTTTAAAACGCAGAACCTTAAACAGTAATACTTGGTGCTCTTCACGTGAGGTATAACTTATGACCTGCATAACTTTCTATTTGTTCCTAAGTAGACTAAAACAGAAAGGAAACACGTCTCTTCTACCACAAAAAAAACAGCATCATAAATGTCAAATAAGCACAAACCGATCAACGTCCCTCTAATGCGGCAGTCACCACCTAATCAACACCAAAATATTAGCAGGAATATCGAGAAATTAACAGTAAGAACAGCAAAGATAGTGGCTCGGAGGACACAAAAGGAATATTAAGCCATCAAAAAAAACGTTTTAAAAGTAATGTTTTCTTTAAGAAGAACAAAAGGATGTCGTCCGCGTATAAACTGACTTTTTTTTGGTCTATCGTAGATTTCAGGGACACAATTTCATCTTTATAAATAAAAAATATAACATATAAAAACAAAACAAATTAGGAATAAATGCATATTTTTCTTGAGAGTCAAAGTTTTTATGCTTTTGTTCATCCACCCGACAGGAGACACTCAGACGGAAGCCATTTTTTCCAAAAAAACTTTGGCAGCAGTTTAGGAACCACATTCTAATATCAATAAACTAACAGCCTTAATACCGATCGATAAATCAGTTAGGAGCTTCATCAATAAGAATTAATTGTCAGGTTACGTCAGGTAGACCCTGCAGGGAATCTCGATGCTCCATTAATAATCCATTCGTTGATTATTTATTATTAAATCGGTTGGTCCGTAAAACGTCAGTAAAATGATAACAATCGCAGTTTCCAAAATGTGAAATTAACATCCCAGAAGACAAAGAGAACCATCAAATATTCACATTTGACATTTCTGCTTAAAAAACTTTCAAGGATTC